TATGTCTTAGTTAAAATTTCTTTAGAGAATTTGGGGAAAAGTCAAGTGATCACAAGACAATGTAGCTCTGATCTCTGCTGCAGCGTTCACCCAGATTCTACATATAAAGCACTTTAAAGAGCTAAATAATAATAAATACCAGGAGAAAAGGGGAATTGAGAGGCACTTGAGAAGAGAGATGTTTTCCAGTGAGATACACAAAGTGATGGAGAGACAATGAGATGAGGAGAGACCTACAGGGAGGATTTTGTAGATGGCAGGAGGTGCAGAGAAGATTCTGATTACAGGGGAAAGAATTCACCTAAGGGAAAGGGGGCAACACAGAAGGTGAAAGATGCTGAAGGCTCCTGTAGCCTCATTCCTTGGGGCTTAAGGCCTGTGGTGAAATGGGGATCAAGAGGGAAGAGCTGGATGTGGTGTCATCACGATCCTCTTGGCTCGAGTCAGCCACTTACTTCTGTCTGTTTTTTTGCTTCCTTCACAGCTCCTGCCAGGAAGTGCTTACAATACATTGTGCCCCTTGCGGCTGGGGCTGGTCTGCTGCTGCTGGTGGTGTCTCTGAGCCTCGTCTGGACCCTCTGCCCTTCCACGCTAGGTAAGAAACACAGCCCAGCCCAGACACTCTCCCGCAGAGAGAAATCCTACTCCCCTGCTTGCTACTGGGGACTGCAACTGTCCTGTACAACACATGAACATGCTGCAAATGTCACTGATCTCAGAATGTTTGTTTTCTGAATCTTGAATTTCCTATGTCGGGAGAACGGCTTTGTTCTCCGGGACAAAGGGAACGATGTAGAAAGACTTCTACTGCCCCTGGCCCAGGCACCTGGTCTATAGTTCACAAAGAGCACTAGCCTTTCTGATGAGCCTCTCCCTGTGCCATGCATGGTGGTGCCCTGCGCACCCACAGCTCGGATGCACCATTAGTCAATGAACTACAGCTGGGGGAGTGACCGTGGAAGAGGAACATTTACTGTTGTCTTTGTTTGTTCCAGGATTCAAGCCCAGGATCTCAGCACCCCCAGCTTCAGAGGAGCACCAGGTACGGTTCTTTGCAGACTGTCTCTGTCTAAATCAATGTGTCTCTCAGGCATTTCAAATCCATCAACTTCATATATTTAATAATTAAACTGGTTATTCTGGAAGGAGAAGGTGAAAGTGAGATCTAGCTGTTGGAGTAGCTGAAAGGGAGCAAAGAGCCTTACTGCTAACTCTGGTACCAATTTACTGTGGGATTGTGGGCAAGGCACTTAGTTCTCTGTGTCTCTGTTTCCCCATGTGTAAAAAATGGATAATTAGACTTACTGCTCAAGGATGATGGGGTTTGATGTTTTATTGGTTCTGACTGTGCCCTTTACAGGGTTTTTGTGTGCAGCTGGGAACATTTCTGGCACTTATAAGGTAAAGAGCTGTAAGAAATTATATTTGTAAAGCACATGAAGATTTTCCAGTGACAGGTGCTGTGGGCCTGATCCAAAGCTCAGTGATCTCAGTAGGAGACTGTCCATTGACATGGGGTTTGGATCTGGCCAAATATTGTCAGTAGCTGATTCTTAAAGTCAGACTCCAGCGCTGGTTTCCATTCCGATAACACGCACCATTTACAGGACAAGCAGGAGAGTCAGAGATGAGGGAATTTTTCATCAGGCTAAACTCGCTTGGATGTCTGGTTCTGTCTCAGCTTGTAGCCCTTCATTTTACAAGGAGGGGCTAATTTTACTAACTGTCACCAAACAGGGTGGAATCTTATACGCTCATCTGGATTTTGATTCGCGGAATCACAACGGGCGCACGATGCAGCGATCGGCCAGAGGGAAAAGCGCAAAACCCTGAACTGTCTACTGCAGGGGAATCCACACGTGGGAACTGATGGCTGGTTCTCTGCTGATCGGACGTAGCAGCTGGAAGAAGGCTCTGTCCGTCTCCATCTCCTTTCTTTTTCATTTTCTCCACTTCTCTGTTTAGAATAAAAAGCTCAGAAGATCCCTACAGAGTCCAGCCTCGTCAGGTGGGATATAAAAGCATCAGGGTGTAGATGACTTTACACATCACGTGTGTACTAGATTGGAAGCTCTTTGGGGCAGGAACTGTCTCTTTGTTCTGTGTTTGTGCAGCACCTAGCACAATGGGTGCTATGGTAACACAATAATTGTCGTCATCATCCTCTCATCTGCAGAGGGACCCGGACACAGCTGAACGGCTGCAGCTTCCCTGCACAGAGTGAGGCCGGATGGCAGAAGCCTGCAGAGGGGACGTGCAGCCCCTGTATATGCCACAGCTCC